AAATGGTGTTTTTTTATACAAAATACATAAAAAGTAAAGTTTGGATTATGAAAGTACAAAAATATTCCTAATAAATCTTATGATATAATGATATTTAAATACTTTTGTGATACCAACAATCTAAGTATTTCAATGGTAATTTTCATTGATAATCTCTTTTTACTAAAATAAGAAATTTTAAAATCAAGTCGTATGACAAGCAGGTAGGGTGGGATAAAAGATACGAGATGTTTGCCTCCCATTGTGCAACAAAGAAAAAAAAAAAAAAAACTTTTCGTGATCCAAACTTCCACAGTCCGGACTTAAAAATGACATGTATGTGTATTTTTTTTCTACAATTTTTTCTATACCATGGTAACCATACCAGCTGGATACAAAGCTCAAAGGGAGAGGTTAAGAATTGAGAGTTTGAGGCTGCTTTGTAAATTGTTGGGCCATTGCTATAGCCTATTTCTTCTTGGGCTATTAGCCCGTTAACTGCTTGTCCATTTGAATCCCTTTTAACGGAGCAGTGACCCCGGTACATTGCTTACCCCTAACTTTCTTTTATTCTGTTTTTTAAGATATTATTACATTCAACAAATAGCAACTACAAGCACCTGACCCTTACGCTCTAACGGTTATAAGTTAAATTATAAGGTGCACTTCTAGTACAATGATTGGGGTTTGAATCTCCCCTCTCCCAAATGTAAACCTGTTCATTTAAAAAAAAAAATGGTGAAGAGCAACTACAAAGCTGTAACTTAATAAAAAAATTTATAAATTATGACTCAATAGTTTTTGTGAATATAAGTCACAACAAATAACATTCAATTGATGGACTGGTAAACTTGTACAGTAATTCATAAAGGAATAACTGATAAAAATTTGTGGATAAAATTGTAACTAATTACTTTTCACCAATTAAAATTATAATTCTTTTTATAGAATTAAAATTACTGATTAATCTTTTGCAAATTACAAACATAACCCAATGAGTACTTTAGTGACTCGAATGTCAACCCTAATATAATTTGACGGGCTTAACTATTGCCGTAGTTAGTTGAGTAGTTATGATTATTATTATTATTGTTAATTTATTATTGCCCTACCTACATGTGATGTCCTAAAAGTTGAAGACCTTAATCATTAATTTAGCCCAAGATAAACATTTTTGTTACATTTGATGATGAACATTATTAAGTTTCCTTTACGCCTTTTGTTCGTAGGTATAAGACTTGAGGGGACAATACCTATGGTTTTTTGCGATATAGTTACAGTTCTTGCCCAGAGTTATGTTGCAAATTTGTTGTAGTGACTCATCTTAGATTTTAAACTTAAAATTCCTAAAAAAAAAGATCAAAACTTTAAACTATTAAGAAGTCTCTTAAAAGACAAGATCAATCTACCATTAACTTTTCTATAATTGCTCAACACAAGAGCAGATAAGATGCTAAAAGATGTAGACAAAGCACAAAAGGAGGGAGGAAACTTCGTATATTAAAGTCAAAAGCTTAAACTATGGTTTTGAGTCAACTGAAATAAATAAATAAATATTTGGTTTAAATCGGCTAGCTAGGCTTGCGTTTGCCTAGCAATACTATATAGCAATTCATATATATATATATATATAATATGATATATATATGAAATGAAATTTACTTGAAGCTAGAGGATGATGTTATGATTTTAAACTGGCATCACTTAGGTCAAGTTTTGTTTGGCTGGTTGTAATTAACAGCTAATTTGTGAATTTTAAATTAAAGCAATGTAGGTTGTAGAAAGTAGAAACTTGTAAGAAGGCGTCACCTGCAATCATTGGCCACGGTTAAGTGTCATCATTTTCTATAGAGTAGGACACTAATTGATACATTTCTTATTTAATATATAACATATAATATATTTATTAAAAAATTATTATATTTTGATATGAAGTTAAAAATAAATAAATTTAAAAATATAGTTATATAGACAATATGCATGTAAAAATTGATTGAATCAATTATAATTATATTATATTTTAATAATTAAATCAAACAAATGTTAAAAGATATGTTAAACTTGAGGACATTAAATCATTTTCCATTCAAACACAACAATAGTAGTAGAACAAGTTGAATGGAGGCACCTTCTAAACGGCACTTTGCATTACAGCACTAATTTCAAATTGCCGCGAATTATATTCGAGTAAGAGGCACTTTGGAATGCCAGTTATTGGATTGCCATTAGTAAATAAGTGTTAATTTATAGTAATGTTTAAGACGAATTAACGCCAAAGCATGGAGACCTGAGACTGAGAAATGAGTAGAGGAGGAGATTTGGAAGGTGAACAAGATGAGAGAGAAACCGAATGGATTGAATTCGAAACGAAAGAGAAGTGGAAGCTAATTTTATTATCATCTTTTCCTTTGATGTTAAAAAAAAAAAAAAAAATCTTTAGAGGTTGAATTGAGTGAGGAAGATAGAGGAAAAACAAAGAAAAGAAAAGAAAAGAGAAGAAAAAAAATAGAGAGAGAAGATGCCGAGCAAGCCATCTTAGTTAATGAATTAATGAATAGAAAGGTGTGGATTGGATGTCACTTTTTTATTTTATTATTAT